GTTATAGGAAGGATACACACCCTCTGTGTATCAATTTCAATAATATGAAATTGCTGATATTTGACTGGCGTTGGTTTACAAAAATGATGTTTTCATATGATGCAACCTAATAGTATTTATATTGTTTAGCATGAATTTGATCGTGAATAAACAACCAGAGAAATCCAAATTGAGGGCATTCTGCAAAATAACCAGCTGGCCTGGACTTTAAAAACAATGTTGATGTCATTAAATAATTTTTTTTTAAAAAGGCAAAGAGGAGAGGCTCTTCTAGACTAAAGAAAGCTAGAAAGACACAACAATCAAATACAATGATGCTCCTTGTTAAGATCCTAAGTTGGGGGAATGAGGAAGAATTTAGCTGTAATGAATGTTATTGAGATAAATTTGAATGTAGACTGTATATTAAATAATAGTTTTATATCAGTTGTGAAATTTTACAAATATGATAATTACACTGTAGTAATGAAAGAAGGTGTCTTTGTTCTAAGGAGATACATGCTGAGGTATTTGGGATGAAGGGTTATAATATCTGCAAATAACTAAAATTTTAAAGGTTCAGCAAAAAATGAATGTGTATACATATGTATGTGTATGTATATCACATACACATAAAGAAGGCATAAATGTGGCAAAAGACCAATAGCCAATCTAGATAAAGGGAATATAGATATTCATGGTACTCTTCTTGCAATCTTTCTGTAGGTTTGAAAATTTTCGAAATAAAACATAGGAGGAAGGAAGAAAGAATTGTCATTATTTTCATTCAGAGTATGAATGCTGGGCTTCGGGGTGCTTTCCTAAATGGAATTTGACTCTATGACCACATGTATAGTGACTGGGATAATTGTTTTTAAAGAACCAGTTGAAATAGAGATGATGTTCCCTACCCATAGGAAAATGATGAGGTTTTACTTTACTGCTAATGGAATCACCAAGCAACGGTCTCAGTGTTGGTGCATTCGTGAATAGAGTCCTGCTTTGCCCAGTGCAGCTGTCCACTAACACCCGAAAGTCCCTAAGTCCGTCTTCATCTGTGCATTAGTATAAAGTTCTCTCAGGGACTTAGAGTTTTTTTTTTTAATATTAAGTTTTACTGTGATCTTAGAGCTATTGGAAAACTAAGATTAATAAAATAATTGCAAAATTGGAGATAAGAAAAAAATATCTTTACTACAAATAGCGACAAACAGTTCAATCTCCAATTTTTTAAATAGAAGAGTTGGGTTTTGACTGGAGGGTTGAAGGTTTAGGACAGGCACTGGGATTTTCCCTTTGCTTTGTCCATCTCTTGTCCAATGTTGTGGACCCAGAGGTGGAAAGGAGAGGTTGAAAAGGCCTTTCTCTCCTTAGAACTTTATCTTTATCTGAGCACCTCCTTGTTATGTTAGCTCTAGTTTGCCACTTCTCATGCTAGGCTTCCTGCCAAGACCGTCTTTGTTTTTTCCCTGGCCTTCAGTCAAGTTTTCAGCTCTTTGCAAGAGCCTCTTCCCGTCTGCTCTCCCATCCTTCACTCTTTTCCTTCTGTCTTGTCAGCTTTCTCTTTGTCCTTTTGGCTTTCCTCCGTGCTCTTCCTGCCAGCCAGTCTGTACTATTTTCCCCCGCCCCATTCCTCCTCTCATTTTCAATAGGATTACATTTATTTTGGAGATGGAAACAGATGGATGAAAGGGAAAGTCATCCTTTATTGCGTGCATATATGTGCATACACACACACACACACACACACACACACATGCAAAGATGATGAGAAGGTAAAGGATTGCTAATATAAGGAAATATCTTTCCACTGAAGTTTTGGTTAATCTAAAAAAGTTTTAAAGGTCTATTTTGAAAGAACCAGATTAACCTTAAACTACAGGCCGTAATATGTAGCAAACAGATCTGGATTGAAAACCAGGTTCATTACTCCCTGTGTGAATTTGGGCTAATCACTTCTGTTTTCTTTTTAATCTAAGAAATGGATATATTGATGGTGCTTTCCTCAGAGCTTTGTTATCAGGATTAAATGAGATAATGCACTTAAAGTACCCAGCAGATAACCCCACAAGGTGGGCTACCTATGAGAGCTTGCGATTATCGTTTGCCCTGTCAGGCCTTTACCGGCCCAGCACAGTCAGACACAGACAAATCTCTTCCTCCTTCAGACTCTTGCAGCACAGACATTTGCCCCATTTTTAGGCTGTCCTTACTTGTCTTTCTGTCTACTTGCCTCTTCTCTTCCTCTCACACTTCTCTTTCTCTCTTCTTTCTTTTAAACATTCTTCTCTTCCTACCTTTCTTGTTTACTTTTTCCATCTTCCACCCTCCTACGAAGACTTAAAAAATATGTCCAATATAAAAAGCTAAGATTAACATATAGTTGGAGGGAAAATGCGTGAAGGGAAAATGAGGGTAGAGATATCATAAAGCCGGGGTTAAGAGGAAATGTATAAATGCATACTGTGGTTAGACGTAATTGCTAGTTGGGGGGCTACCACTTTACTGAGTTTCCTAGAAGTCAAAGGAAAGATGGAAACAAATAATTAATAGTAGTAAGGTCCGTGAGATGGAGGAAATGTGTAAAAACTGTGGTCCCTTTCCTGAGCACTTTTGTGGATTCTCATAAAGGGGACCCTAAGTGGTGTAAGTAAGTGATGTCTACCATAGTAATGCATCTCCTTTCATCATGGATATAATAATAAACTTCAGAGAACTGCTTCCTATGAAGCTTTTCAATATAGGCTGATATATGATTATGTACAGCTGAAGTTCAATCCTATAAAAGCATTTTTACAAGGAGTTAGATTGTGTGCTGTTGTGTATGCAATCCTCCGAGGTCTGGCATGCTGCAAGGATTGAGTTTAGAATACCTACAGGAATAAATAGACTTGTGTCCTTCCAGCGATCCTCTATAGATATTATCTCTAGCAATCAGGCTTTTGAAAAGTATAAGAAAGTAGAGTTCAAGGCAAGCCGCTGAGTATGGATATCCTCTGTCACTGATGAAGGGCAGAGAAATGTGATTGGATAATCCGTCAGATAGACAGTAAGACTAAAACCCTTTTAATGAAAATTAAAAGCCACACAAACACACCTGCCTGAACAGAACCATGTCATTTCTGTATGAGAAAGGCTGAGACAATATCTATGGGCAAGGTCAAAATAGTCCTCAATTCTGACACTGAATAGTTCTTTACAGTACATTATTAGATGACAAGAAAAGCTGGAGTCCATTTTAAGGAAAAGGAGCACAAACGTGTGCCCAGTAAGAAAATACACCAAAATGTTGGTAGCAGAAATCTCTGGGAAGTGGGATTTCGGGTGACGTTTCTCTTTTCTATGTTTACAGTGAGTTTTACAATAAGCAGATGTTGCTTTGGTTATAAGAAAAAAAACAATGAAGTTATTTTCAGAAAAAATAGTTACCCTGGGATGCTTCGATACATGGAATAGGTAAATTCAGCCACAAATTTCCACAGCAGTGGTTCTTAGCCCTAGCTGTGTTTTAGAATGCCTTGAGAAGTTTTTAAACGATATTGATGTTTTGGACCCACCCCAGACCAATTAAATTTCAATCTCTGAGGCTAGGACTCAGGCATTGGCATTTAAAAAATATCACCGAGGTGGGTATAATGTGCAGCTGCGTTGAGAACTGCCTCTCTATACTGTAGAACACAACTGGAATAATCCCTGGTCCATGTTCCAGCAGGCACACTCTTCTCAGTGGCCTGGATAGCTCTCCATGATCTGGCCCCTGCTTTCCTGTCCAGCATCAGCTTATTCTACAGTCTTGCTCATTCAGCTCCCAGAACAGTGCCTGGCCTGTAGTAGGTTATAAATTTAAAACAAAGGAGGACTAAATGAATTCCTGGATCACAGTTTGCTGACTGTGGTCACAGAAATAATTAACATCTTTGTTTAAGCAACATAGTTTTCTATGAATTTTCTTTTTACCAGTTGTATTGTCATTAATTGGTCTGGATGTCTTAATAGACTCTTCGGTTATGATTGAGAATAGTAAGTCTGATGATTTAGTTTTTTTCAATAGTTTATCTTAGCCATTCTATTTGTAATCATTGTATATGAGGACAATTTGTCTGTTAGGTCAATTTTTTAACACACGATAAGAATGTATGCTCCATGAGGGCAGGGTTTGTCTTTCTCACCACGGCATCTCCATGGACTAGGAAAGTGCCTTGTTCAGAGGAAGTACCCAATATAGATACTTGTTAAATACATATTCAAGACATGAATAATAATAAAAGCGTAATATGAACGTAAAGGATTGTATTTGGTTTTTTATTTCTCATTTGATGAATTTAGTGTGTTTGAAGGGAAGGAGGCATGCGCACATTCATGCAAAAGTAATAAATTATTTAGATAGTTCTTTAACAAAGAGAAAATTCATACATTCAGACTGAGATGAGGTTTTGAATCCATTTTTTGGTGTGTGAAAGTGTTATAGTAGGTAGGTAGTCAGATACAAGGAGGGCCAGAGGGGGCGTCCCCCAACACACACACACACACACACACACACACACACACACACACACCCCACCCCCCCGCCCAGGAGTGTTGGGCGACTGTTGTTAACTGCCTCTCTAAATTACTAATTGGTCGCAGCCAGCACCAGGGAAAGGCAGTCTCTCAATAAACAGCAACATCTGAAACTGGTGATTAGCAACTTCCGGATAAGATCTCAGAAGTTGGGCTAATGGGCTCAAGCATGCGCACTAAGAGGCAAAACGGAATTGTTTAACTGAACATGATCTTCTAGGGATGTTCACTGATAAGGGAAGAATGCTTCAAGTGAGCATGCGTACAACGCGAGTAAACACACTGCGCATGCTCCCAGGTGCTGGCAGGCCACAGCGCAGGCGGACAGCCCACCCCAAGGTAAGAATCAGGGAGGAGGGAATGCAAAGACCCTGGAAGGATGCCAACGTATGAAATCCCAAGTCAAAAGGTCAAACCGTGCACTTGACTCTCAAGTCGCCCACTTGGCCCTCTTCCAAATCTACTTCCTTTTGTGCCTGCTCTAAACTTTTGAAAAAACTTTCACTACTGCTCGAAAACTTGCCTCAGTCTCTCCTTCTGCCTTCTGCCCCTCAGTCACATTCTTTCTTCTGAGGAGGCAAAAATTGAGGTTGCTGCAGACCTGTACATATTTGCCACTGGTAACAAAAGCACAGTTGGTACTAGTTTGGTCCTGACACAGCTGCCAGAGTGATCTTTTAAAATAAAAGTTAGATCATGTTTCTTCTCTATTTGAAACCCTCCAATGACTTTAGCTCATACCATATAAAAAATTAATTCGAAATATTTCAGACTTAAGCATAAGAGATAAAACTGTAAAACTCTTAGAAAAAAACATGGGGGAAATTTTATGACGTTAGATTTGGCAGTGATTTCTTGTTGTCAAAAATATAGGTAACAAAAAATAATAGGTAAACTGGACTTTATCAAAATTAAAAATCTTTGTGCATCAAAGGGCACGATTAAGAGTGAAACTGTTTCCAATTGACACGTGAGGAAACTGAGACTCAGAGAGGTTAATTGACTTATCCAAGGTTGTCCAGCTACTGAGTAGCAAACAAAGCAAAGCAAACCCTCTACTGGCTCCTTATTTCAGAGTAAAGGCCAGAAGTCCCTAATGTGACTTAAATGACCCACCATATTCTGGCTTATGCCTTGCTCAGCCCATAGTTCTCGGATCTCTTCTCTTACAGTTTCCCAGAGGTCAGGGATATTCTTCCCCTGTTTTACCTTGCCTCCCTCCTTTACTGCCTTCAGGTTTTTGCGCAACTCTCACCTTCTCAGCAAAGAGTCCCCAATCCTACCTCATTTAAATCTGAAGCCGCTTCCTTCCCTTACACACGCCAGTGCCTTTCTGTTTCACTTTGCTCCACATCACTTACCTTCATCTGATATAATTCATCTCAATGTATTTTTTACATTTTACTGCCCGACTTTTTTTTTTTAAGATAAATTTGCTTTATGCAATTTTTCTTTCTTTTAACTTTTATTTTAGGCATGGGGGTACATGTGAAGGTTCGTTACATAGGTAAACATATGTCACAGGGGTTTGTTGTACGTATTATTTCATTGCCCAGCTATTAAGCCTAGTACCCAATAGTTCTCTTTCTCCTCCATGTAGACCCCAATGTCTGTTATTTCCTTCTTTGTGTCGTAAGTTCTTATCATTTAGCTCCCACTTATGAGTGAGAGCATGTGGTATTTGGACTTCTGTTCCTACATTAGACTCTTTTCATTAGGGTCTAGTAATCTGAAGACAGGGATTTTTAAATTTTGGTCTATTATGGTTTCTGCCTTATTCCCAGGACCTTGAACAGTGCCTGGCACATTGACACATAGCAGGTGCTGAATTAATATTTGTTGTGTAAATAAATACATCAAAAAACATTTTATTTGCTTCTACCCTGACGAATTATGACATCTCATAGTGGTTACCCTTATATTTTTACTTTTCCACTCGCATGTATCAACTCTACTTCTGCTAGATTATCAGCTCTGGGGAAGAGTCTTCTATGTCTTTTCTGCCTAAAAGTGGCTATCTACGTGATCCACAACATGCAACAGAATTTGCATATATGTGCATATTAATTGAGTGTTTGTGAAAATTGAGACTTGGATGCTGAAGAGAACAGGTAGGTTTCTCATCCCCATCAGAATATTCCATCAAAAGGTTTCCCAAATAAACCCCTGTTCTGCTCTTGGGACAAAATGAAAATGTTTGGTTATCTATGAATCTAGTACTGCTGTTTCAGTCTCTCTTCATATTTAGAGAGTGAGGTTCATCATGTGAGAAGTTTAGTTACTAACAACCCCTCCTAATTCCTGCATTGCTGAAGCTCAGAGCAAGCTCAGATCAAGGGAGATGAAGTGCCACTTTGTACAGGGCTCAGCTTGGTTACTGCCTATCTGGGTAAAGAGCCCTCTTAACCTCAAGGCCACGCAGGTCAAATGTTTTTGTTTCAAGTGAGTTCTCTGCAATGGTCCAGTTTTCTCCACATTTCAGAAATCCCCAGCAGTGATATTGGGCAACTCTTGGAGTTTGTTTCTCCATCAATAAATTAGCCCAATACAAAGGAGAGAAAGATTCTTGGCCCTGAAAGACCTGGGGTCTGGAATAGATGTGCTCCATCTGCCAAGGCATTTTCCCATATGGCTGAGGTTTTTTCCTATTAAAAAATGACAACTACAAGAAAAAAACACTTACTCAGCAAACTGCATAACAAGTCATTTGTGCCAATAAAATGACAGTCATCTTCAAGGCCACAGGCTAAGAATATGAATTATCAGGTAGAAATTGGCTCTGGGATAAATATATTTTTCTTTGTTCCCTACTCCTTCCCACAATCAAAATCTCTCTCTCTCTCTTTGCTCTCCACACGTGTGCATACATACTCATGTACACACTTGCACACTCATAAAAACCAGACTTTCCAAAATTTCCCAGTTGGTTAAGAAGCAGAACCCAAAGTTGGGTGAGGAAAAGTGACTCATTCCCCTAGGTTTGGTTTTTACTGCCAGAAAACAGATTTTCAGGAAGAAAAATCACATGTCCCAAACCATCACCAAAGTAAAATGAATCAAATCCCCAGTGTCTGCCTCAGAATCTCCATAGTCTGTGGTCTAGTCCCAGGCAGTGGCTAGTGGTTGAGTGAGCTCCAGAATAGTTTGCTTCCTCTTGCGGGATGTTATTTTCTGACAGCTATTGACAATTTTCATTTCCGTGTGACAGGGTCCATGCAGTCAAAAGAACTTGACCCAAGCCTTATAAAATCACCAATGTGATGTTTTTATTTGGAAGCATGTTTTGCTGAGGCCATCTGAGTGGAACTGAGAGTTTTGTGGGCTGTGGTTCAATGAACCACACTTACATGTTGGTTTAGAAGCGACTCAACCTTCTCTGAAGTTCAGTCTGAACAAAGACTGAGATAGGAATGCCTAGGGGCTCTTTTTGGGTCTCCATCTCCTCACCTGTGAAGTCGTATGGACAGTAATTAGTAAACAGGAGCACTGAAAGGATTGGCATTTTTGAAATGTTAAATGTTGTTTTCTTCAACCCCAGCAACAATTGTTTCTTGTGACTTTCTGCGGGACGCTGAGGAACGCTGGGATGATAATCACAGAAACCAATTGCTGCCTCTGGAAAGCCCATAATTCTGCAGACTCATGGAGCTTCACTCGGATTCCAAATCCAGAAAGACCAGCATGTCTCACGGAAACACTTAAAATCCTTCCCACATCTTCATTCATCATGCTTGGGGTAAAATACGTGAATGAACCAACAACACGTTGCAGAAGTCAGTTTTGAGTTTTGCATGTTGTGAACTTAGAAACAACTCCACTTCTTTCAGCACTAGGTGACCTATTCACTCTGTGTGTGTGTGTGTGTGTGTGTGTGTGTGTGTGTGTGTGTGTCCCTGTGTGTGTAGAGAAAGGGACAGAGGGAGAGAATGCAATATTTAGTTTTGAAGATGTTACACTTACAATTATGCTTTCAGAAGCTTGTTCCTGGGAGTACCACGGAACAATGTGGTTAGGTTCCAAGGAATAAAATCATTTATAGGGCAGTCCTCTGGTTTTTCCTCCAAACCACTGTCTGTGCGTTGTTCAGGGGAAAGAATCTCAGCTTATTCACAAGTGGTGCTATCTTTCCACAGGATGTTCATTGTTTTGAAAATAGAAGAAAACCTCAACAGCTCTGAAGTATATAATTATGCTTTCTTATTATCCAACAAGAATGTTCTCTGGCGTGTTGCTGTGATGACTCGCTTGCTAGCGATCTGGCGGAAGGAAGGGCGGCTCAGTAGGAGAGGAGGAGGGAGCAGAGCTCGCCTTCCATGCCACTTACTTTCTTTGTTGTCTGACGGCTCTCACAGATATGTGGCTGGTCCTCAAATAGCCTAGGTAGAGTTTTGGTCGTGGGTTTCAAGTCTCTTCTATGTCCCCCCTGCCCCTGCCCCACCGTTATCAGTGTAATAAGTGATTTCAGAGTATTAGGGGAGATTCCACTGCCACTGAATCATGTACAGACTCAAGGCCAGATGATGACATCAGAAACATATGTGTTAGTCTAAAGGCAGGACTTAGCCTAGGAAATGAGAACAAGATCTCTGGTTGGAGAATTAAGGACCCAGAGGCCGAGAAACCACCCCAAGAGGAGAGCTTCTTTATCTTCCCCCTCCAGGCAGAAAGTCACCTAAAATATTCTCTTTAGATGTTTTATTGTGCTGTTTTTAAACATTTCTGGGAAAATTCTTTTAAAGCTAGGATTTAAGTACTTCACAAACAAGGCAAAGTTTGCCTGTGAGGGATAAACTCTGCATGCTCGAACTCATAATTACCATGATTTTATAAACCTGGCACTTCCTAACCAAGCTTTATTTTAATTTGGAGCAATATCTGTAAGCAAATTCTTCATTAATCATGTTTGCTCACCCATATGCCCACCTGTATTTTTAAAAGGTATATTCCCAGATATGTGTTTATATAGACACATTGCAATATTCCTCCAAGTGGATTTTATCAAGCCATGGGACACATTTTAAATCACTTTCAAAGTTGACATCATACTTGAGCTTTGTGCAGACTCTGTGGTTTCCATAGTAACAAAATCACTTAACAGTGTGAGAAACGTGGAAGATTATAGAAAAAAGGAGGAAATCTGAATGGAACAAAAGGCAGGAGCTAAAGTCAAAATTTCTTGGAATGCTAGAAAATTTTTATTGTTGTTTTATTTACCTGAAAAGATGAGTACAAACTCTCTTGATGCTACTGGCTGTAAATTGTGTCCATTGCTCATTACCTTTCAGCATCCAAGGTCATCTTGCTCCAAACTACAGTCTTACAGATGCCTGCATTCTTCATTGTGTGTGTGTGTGTATGTATGTGTATGTGTGTGTGCATGAGCACATGTGTATTTATAGATAGCTATATATGTCTATACACGTATATGCATTTGGAAGATCCATGGTCTCTTTATAAAAACTGGCTTCACCGTCTTAGATCTGAAACAGGTAGTAAGATGACTTTCTGAAAGACTTACCTTATTTCCTCTCTGTGCACACACAAACACCAAGACAAGCTGAATTTTTATTTGGGTAAATAGTAATGGCGTACTTGGAAACATCTTTCATTAATTCAGTAACTTATTCATTAGAGAAATTTATTGAACATCTTTTGTGATAGAGTCAGCTATAAGCAGACAATTATGATAACTGTTAAGTGTTATGTGGGTAATCTATGAAAAGCTTAGCATTCAACCTTCCTGGTTGCTTATTAGGTCCTCTCTGTGACAAATGGCTCACAGTTTCCATGTTTCCAGTCCATGGGAAGCTCAACTGGCAACTTAGGTCCCTTGCCTAATGGATTACACGCACTTTTGTAAAAGGGTTGAGTTGTTGGGTCTCTCACTTATTAGGTTCCATGAATGAGGAGATGTACGTTCCTAACCCTGTTTCTCTTACTATTCCTATTAAATGAACTGAGTAGGCAAATATAAATACAACATAATCTCAGCACTTTGGCCTCAGAGTGATGAGAAGGGCAGGATTAGCTGGGGATTTTAAGACAGCGTCTGTGTTGGTGATGCTTGATTAAGCAAACACCAGCTTTCATGGGTGATGCATTTCTCCCTTTGGTTTGTTAGAAACTAGAACAAAACGGAAGCCCTTTGCCCCAACTCTTCTCAGTGGTAGGAGTGGAGACCATTACTATTGGAGCCAGAGAAAATGTCCAAACACCTCCTCAAGACTGGCAACCTGAGTAAATTCTGACATCCTCCCTCAGTTCTCAACGAACAACTTGACTGTTTTTGAGGTCTTCTAAGGAGATGACTCTTCTTGGGAAGGTGACCCCTCAATCCTTCAAAACAGCCAGTAGAGAAGGATTAGTTATGATGCTGCAGCCTTCGAGGCAGGTGTGCCCAAGAATATGTCAAAGGCATTAGAACCGACTCTGGAACGAAGTCCTGGTAATTAACATCTCTGGCATCTTTCTCTTTGAGAAGGATTTTTGTCCCATGACAGCATAATAGCACTAATAGATGTGATCTATCTGAATGCATGACTGAAAATGCACATGATGGTTAGAGATAGAAAAGTGCCTATAGTAAGCTTCCTCTGTCCCTTCTATTGGGGAAAAACCTCTCTCCTTAGGCATTCAAGTCTATCCCTGAGCCTCATCTAGGACGTGGCTCTCCCAATTATTCCTTCTCTCTTATATTTTCAATTACTTGATGTTCTCTGGCTTTTACCTTTTGTGCACAAATATGTACAAATCTCCCTGAACTGTAAAAAACGAAACACACAAATAAAATCTTGCCATAGCCCTCTCTTCTCGACCTCTTCAGGAGAGTTTTGGTATCATCATTCAGCTGAAATTTCTTCCCACGGGGCAGTCACCTCCCAACTACCGGATTCAGAGTCCTGTTTTCTGTCCTCCTACTTTTATCTTCTGCAGCATTTGAGGCTCTGAACGCCCACTTCTTTCTGATAAACCCTCCTACTCTGGCTTCTGTATCACTGCTCCCTCTTAAATTTTCCTTGTAACTCCATCTCCTGCCTGTTGTATTTCTTTGCAATTTTCTTCACAGTTTCTCTTTGCTCACCCTTAGAAGTCAATTTTTTCCAGGTCCTATCCTATTCTTGGTATTCTTCTCCTCCCTCTCTCACATGTGTATATTTTCCCATGTGAACTATTATCCCAGATGCAATTGACATTTTTCTACAGGTAAAATGTGATCAAGTGTTGATAATTTCATGTTTCAACCTATCATAATTTCCATATCTCTGTTTCCAGCTTTGATCTTTCTCTTTAGCTTAGTTCAATATTTCCAATGACCAGCTGGATATTTCTGACAGGATGGTTTCCAATCAATATGTATCCATCCCAGATGAAATCCTTTTATCTCAAAACTTCTCTACCTTAAATATTCTTGGTCTCAGTTTATGGTGTCACCACCTCCTCAGTTCCTTGGGTTAAAAAACTCAGTCATTCTTGAATTCATCTTTTTTCCACTGTAGCCAATGAGTCAAAATCCCAGAGGATTCTAGCCCATGAATATCCCCACAGTGTTGTCTCAGATCAGGCCATCACCCCTGCTAGCCTAGGTGGTGCAATGGCTCCGTCCGTGGAGTCCCTGCTTTGACTTGCCCTCTACTCCAGCACATCCCTTTACACTGTCCTAGGTTTACACTCATGACGTTGATATGTTGAAAACCTCATCCCCAGTGCAATGGTATTAGGATGCAAGCCCTTTAGGATGTGATTAGATCATAAGGGTAGAGCCCTCATGAATGAAATTAGTGCCCTTTATTACAAGAGGCCCCAGGGAGTTGTCTTATCCCTTCGACCATGTGAGGACACAGCTAGAAGTTGCTTTCTATGAACCAGGAAGTGGACCCTCACCAGACACTGAATCTGCCAGAACTTCGATCTTGGACTACTTTTGATCCTGCAGAACTATGAGAAATCAATTTCTGTTTATAAGCCATACGGTTGATGGTATTTTGTGACAGCAGCCTGAATAAACGAACACACACTGGCACCAGAAATATCTTCCTAAAGAGCAAACCTGACCATGGGACTGGAGGACTTATCTCAATCCATGACCTATAGCTACGGCTCAGCTCATGTCACTCTGGTACTCAAACCTTCACCACAGTCATTCTGATGGAATGGCTTGTTCTGAAACACCAGTTGCTTTCACAACCTTGTACTTTCTTCTGTCTGAAATGTTTTCCACATTCATGAAGCCTCTGAGAGCCCACTGAAAAGCCGCTTCTTCTATGAAGGCTTTCCCAAGTCTGCCCACCAAACTGATCCTTCTCTGCTTCCCTTATATTTTGCCCATGTTTTTGTTCTATCACTTTATGAATCAGCTGGTGGTTTATCCATTTACGCACTGGACTTCTCTAGTAGATTGGAAATGCAGATCATATCTCTTGTGACCAACACCTGCTGTTCAAAAAATGTTTTTTAAGTAATTGAATGAGATTATTGAAAGGAACTTGGACCAAGATGAAAATTCTAGATTGAGAGGGATCAAAGAGTTTTCAGATCTAGGTTTACATCTAGGTTTACATATTGCTGCCATGGAAATATATATTCACTCTGCTTTCCATAGTTGTAAAATGTGAAAATCAATAATAAGGGAAGAGAAGGGAAGGGAGGGGCATTTGATTGATAAAATACTAAGTAGAAGTTTGATCTCCAAGGCAAAGTTATACTTGAGAATGTTCACATTGTCATGACGTGGTATATTTCATTTTCAGTGGAACTGCACCATGTAAGAAATGTATGATGTTATGCAGTATTATTCTACAATACATTCAGAGTAGATCTATTTCTTCTCTTATTGATGTGACTTGAGTAAGGCTCCTCTTGGAACTTTAGTGGAAGCTGTAGACCAGAGAAGGCAGAAAACAAATGAACCTTCCATTTAGTGTTTTTGATAAATAAGCAGGACACCCTCCTGAAACAGGGTTCCAGTCTAATCCTGATGTCCAGCAAGGATGGGATCCCAAGGTTGTTGTTTGATCATTTATCCTCAGTATGCCAGCCCCCTGGAAACCTAGAGTAGAACAGAGAAAGAAAGATGAAGTCACATTCAACCAAAATTCAGTAGAAAACATTGAACATGTGGTCATCTTCCCTTGGTTGAATCGAGTTGAATATTGGGGCAGGTATGAGCATGATGGACACACCCTACATTGCCTAGCTTATGCCTGGCACATGGACTACGACTCCCTGACTTGTGCTCAAGGCAGTACCACATTATTTGTATTTCCCTGCATATAATGTACTCTTCCTGCCTCTTTGCTTTTGTTTACATTGTTCCCTCTGCCTAGAAGTTCTCACTGTCCATTTTGATGAATGAATCCCTAATGAGGATCAGTTCAGACATCACTTCCTTCAAGCCCATCTCTGACCATTTCTTTTTCCTCCTAGCATGAGTTTGATACTATTCATCAGTGCTACCATGTACAGTTGTGCAGTATTTTCACTGCATAAAGTTGCCCTGCTGAGGGAGTGAATTCCTGCATGGCAGCCCAAGCTGCCATGCCTTGGGACTGGGCTTGTTTCTATTTCACACAAAGGCAAACCCACATGCCCTGTGCACATTTCTATTACTGCTATGGCCATGTGTACAATGAACATCTGTTTTATCTGTTGCCCTCACTATTATACCTGGAAGGCCAGCCCTTGTTGGGTTTTAACAATTATTAAGAGCTAAATGCTATTCTAGGGACTTCAGATGCCTTAAATTATTTATTTATCTCAATAATCTTCTGAGAAGGTTAGCCAATCTACAGAGGAATAAACTGAAGCACCAAGGGAAGAATAGTGCTACAAAAGTCTCACAGAAGGTAAGTGCAGAGCCAGGGTTCATCAGGACATCAGGCTCCGTGGTCCTTGCTAGCCACCATACCACACTGCCCCTTGATGAATGAAAACTTCTTGGGCTTCCGCTTCATTGTGTTTCTCCTTCTTTGGGGAAAAACGCTGTCTTTTTTTTTTTTTTTTGCCAGTTTCAGCAGAGACACTCCCAGATGCCAGTGTGTGTCTCGTCCACATGGTGCAATCTGCCATGTTCTGAGAGCTGGTCTCCATGGAGTTGGTTCCCAACTCCTTTTCTAGAGAGTGCCAGAGAGATTCCTTATACAGAAGGTAAGCTGGAGGGCCAGGCCTTCTAGGCAGAGATTTTGGACCTGGGGATTTGCATAGGAGGCAAGGTATATATGGAGTAGGGAAGAAAGGAAAAGGAGGGGAGTGATAGTAAGCAGGATGCCCAGAAAAAAGGGTGAAGGCTCACATTTAGTCACCTGTTAAATGTGAAAGGTCCACCTTGAAGAGGTTGGCTGGGTAGGGTTAGGAGGAGAACAGTCACATGGATGTCTGTGGGAAAGGAAATCTACAGCCTTACCACACTAGTGGCAGTACCTTCTCCTGACATCTCGTTTGATGAGAATGACGATGTATGAGGAGGAGGGACATGGTTCCTTTCTCTTCTCCATCTCGTCCCTGAGTAAGTTCTGTGCAAAGCAAGGACTGACAGCAAGAGAGGGTAAAGTGGGGATGGAGATGCTTACAGAGGTGTTTACAGTGTAACGATACAGGATTGAGGTAATAGTGGAAGAACGGAGGCTCTGGGGGGCATGGGCCAAGGTGCCTTGAGGATAAAGAAGGCATCAGGAAGGCCCAGGGATGCACCTTGGGCTTTGCCATCTTGTATTCACAAAAGAAAACTCCCAGATCAGTCCCAGGTTCTTGGCACTGTCTCAGGTCCTCAGATGTTCTCTAATGCATGTGTTCAACCATTCCTCTTCCCTGTTCTCCACATTTCCTGGGTCACAACAGCCTTGTTGGCTGTGGAATGAGAATGAGATGTCAGAGAAGGTCCAGCTGGCCTTGGGTTGGAGTAAGTAGCTTCAAATAAAGAATGTCTCTGCAGTGGGTGTGAGGCCAGGCCACTGGCCCAAGTGTTTAGTGTTCACGAATTCAGACTCTCCCTCTCACACTGACTCAGCCTGTGCCTTTGGGTGACTCTGTTTCTCAGACCTTAACACGGGGATAATGATACTCGCTACTTTGTGAGGGGGTATTAATTAAAGTTAGCAAACTGCGTGGCAATGCCGGGATGAAAGGTGTTAAAAACACCATACATTTAAAGTGTAATTGTGAGGCACGGTAGGTTGTGTCACTTGCCATATGTGTTGTAATTAGAATTGATATAGACAGATAAAATTCATGTTAGAACATAGGCTCTGCAGAGAATAGGTCTCATTTTAGAATGTGTGTTAGAAGCCACCTTGGTCCCCAAACTAAAGTCAAGAGAAAAATGTGGATTTGCGTGGGATGTGTGTTCATGGGCTGACGCGTCTCCCTATAGTCTTGTAAATAGAAAAGAGAGCTGATTTTCGAATGTCGCATATTTCAAGTTTTCCTTCAGAGACTTCAGGCCTTTGCTATTCAATCCTCACTTCTCACCAGCAGAGATCCTGATGACAGGAAACATGTCCCTGGTGAGCACAGCTTGATGGCAGGTAAGGGATAAGGAATGCCTTGGAGAACCAAACCTGGACACTTTGTCCCTCTCTGTAAGTGGCCTTTCTTGAGAGACTAAAAAATGTGAGCTTCCTTAGTCCAGTGCTCAAAGGCTGGCCACCAGCAATTCCTCCTTGTCCCAGACACTGTTCCATGACCCTGGAGCCCCTCAGGACAAGAAGTCACAAATCATGTGGCTGAGACAGAGCCGTGATTTCAGAGTGCTGCTCTCCTCACTGTTTCACCAGTGCTGGCTGAGATCCTAGAGCAGCTTCTGCGGAATTGATCGAAATGATGTCATGTGTGAGGCTAATTTTTGGAAATGGAAATCAGTGTCTCTTGGAGAAACTAGAATGCCTGGTAGGTCCTGGGGAAGGCTGCAACCATCACATCACCATGTGCTGAAGACCTCTGCAGGCTCATGCTTGATGACGTCCTTACCTCTACGCCTTGAAGTAAAAAGAGATTAAATAGTTAAGAAAAAATGTCAGACTGAAAAACCCTGAAGAGCTTTAGATTCTCCCAGGTCTGTCAAGTTAGGCAACAGCTGGGCCATCAGATCAGGGAATTCATGCATTCATTCACAAGCTGTATTGATTTATTGAGCACTTTCTGTGTGCCAAGCACTGTTCTGAGTGTTGATACAGCAGTGGACATGCCAGACAAAAATTCCTATCCTTGTGGATAGCATTCTATTGGAGAGACATCCAAAGCAGAGGAAAACACTTATAGCATCACTGCTTATGACTAATTCTGTTTCCAGCTGTCCTGCAGCTGTCTGGGATTTGGACTTTGTTCTAATCCCAATCCTACTGCATCCTTTTCTCTATAAATTAGGAGGAGTGACATTGTCTAAAATGAGGGCTAGTTGTTGTCATCGATTTTAGCTGAGAAGTAGGGGTGATATTCATATTGGCAACTGGTATAGCACAAGTGCTGACCAACCAGAATGGGTACCTGTAGTTCCTGCTAACACTAAAGCTTTAGACCCAAGGGTCTTGAGAGAATGATTCAGGTAGCCGAGATGGCGAAAGATTCAGAGTGGGGGCACTTGGGGGCATTGGCTATTTACAAAATGGTACAGAAATATTTCAATACTTTAAACATAGCCTGACTATACCAGACAATACCAGATGAATAGCAATCCTACTCTTGAAAGAATCTAGAGAAAAGGACATACCCATATGATGTCTTGGTCAATATGCCCACTGATAAAAGATCCAGCAGCCAACAGAGGACCTACCATCAATTTCACATTTTGAATCTCGATTAGAATTCACAGCTACTGAGTCTCCACAACCTTATAAAATAACTTTGAAAACTTTAAATTTTAAAGATGGCCTTTAAAATTCTCATAAATGGCTGCCAGGTGGAGCAGAGCTGTGAAGGGCACCCAGCCTCTGTAAGAATTGTCTTTATTAAAAAGAATGCAACAGCTCTGGAATATGCTTTGATGTGGTGATAGGTTTTTTTGGATCTCTTCTTTCCTGGTCATTACTTGGTTTACACGGGACTTGGCTGGTGAGGAAGCCACACCCCTTTGACAGGTAGATAGAAAGCACTATTGACAGGGAGCAGTTGTGAAACAATTCTAGTTGCCGTCACTGGGGTGCTGGCATAGTACTGGTCCTGCAGGTTCCTAACTTGTCATCATAGCTGGCAACATCTCCTGGCTTTTATAGAAGGTTTAATTGGAGAGTGTCTGATGCCTGAAGGACTTTGCTGGTTGACAGCCTTGAAAATGGTGAAAGAAAGAAATTGAAACCAGGTAAGCTGTTCCGTGTGCATTCTTTTTTCCTCACTCACAGGTGGAGCCTGGAAAAAAAATACGTGTTCAATGGGATACACAGTAAATGCAAGGAGGGGAGGAGAGGACAGTAAGTACAAGGATGGCTCCCTGAATAGAGGCTGCCCAGAGAGTTGTTCACTTAACAATCTCATCAAATTTGCTAACAAATTGTTTGCCTGGTGAAAGAAAGATGTCAATGTCAATCACTCATGCCCCTTTCAAAGGGAAATGCCCCTGTGGCCCCTGCTGGGTGCTCACTTTTGTATCACATGACCAGTGGTGGCCAGAAGACCTCAGGGAAGGTAATAGTTCACAGACTTGCCAGAGTCCTGTGACACAGCATCCAGAGAGCTGGCCCAATCTGGTTTTGCCTCTTGTGTAAGTGTCCTGGATCTATTGAGAGCCAAGGAGGGGGATACATGGGTGCTGTGGCTGACAGTCATTGGGCGGAATCCGAACAGGGGTGCTTGAGGCATTCGTGGCTGTGCTGGTCAGGTGGTGAGGGAGATTGTAGGGAAAAACACAAGTGCCATTGTGGAGTAACTGCTTCATTGCTTCATTCATTCATTCAGCCATTATTATGTGTCAGGCACTCTACTGCGTACAGGGTATACGGCAGTGAACAAAGCAGACAAAAATCCCAGGCCTCATGGGCTGACATTTTAGTGGGAGAGACAGAATAACAAAGAAAAGTAAGAAATGTGTATCTGGTAGTGATAAATCCTGGGGGGAAAATTAGAAGTAGTGTAGAAAATTATGGAGGAAAAATAGACAAAATAAGATAGGTAAAACTTAGACAATTGATTGATGATGGATAGATAGGGGTTCATTTTACTTTTTGAGTATGCTTAAAATTTCTCATAGTAAAAAATGTTTTTAAAAAATGCAGGTGGCTGGGCACGGTGGCTCACACCTGTAATCCCAGCATTTTCGGAGGCCAAGGAGGGTGGGTCACAAGGTCAGGAGTTTGAGACCAGCCTGGCCACTATGGTGAAACCCCATCTCTGCCAAAAATACAAAAATTAGCCAGGGGTGGTGGCAGGCACCCGTAGTCCCAGCTACTTGGGAGGCTGAGGCAGTAGAATTGCTTGAACGTGGGAGGCAGAGGTTGCAGTACACGGAGATCACACCATTGCACTCCAGCCTGGGCAACAGAGCAAGACTCCATCTCAAAACAAAACAGAATGAAGGTAAGTTGGATAGGAGATGTTAGGGTAGGGTGGGCTTACAATTTTAGATCTCACTGAGTGGGAAGGCCTCACTGAGAAGATGACATGTGAACAAAGACCTAAATGAAGTGCTAAGCAGATATCTGGGACAAGCATTCCAGGCACAGGGAACAGGTGGCTGAGGAGGAGGCCGTAGATGGGGCAGGGCAGGGATGGGGGTCACATACGGCCTATGAGTCACTGGGGAGAATTTTGCCTTTTATTCTGGGCGAGAGGGAGGGCCACCAGAACATTTTGAACAGAGGAATGACATGACCTGACACGAGTTTTGGCAGTTCTTAGAGCTTTGGGAGTGAAGGTCCATTAATTCCTCCCTATGGGGTCCACTGAGCATCCCTGAATCAGGCACTTTTAAGTCCTAGCTCTGTTATAACTTCTGTTCTTAGATGAAGCAAAGGAACCCATTTATTTTTTTGCTCCTCCATGTAACCTCACAAGAAATCACATTTGTTTGAGATAGCTTCAGTGTGGAAACAAACTACACTTTTTCTCATTACGGGGCTGCCACTCTTGGAGAGCAGGAAAGGCGTGCAGGAGGAGCACTTGAGCTGCTCTTCGCCACAGCTCAGGAGGGGAGGAGAGGATGCAGAGGCTCAGGAGGAGGGGGAGGACTCCTCAGCTCAAGAGGAAAGGGGAGGACTCTGTGGCTCAGGAGGAGAGGGGAGGGCACTGAGGCTCAGGAGATGAGGGAAGGACTCCATGGTTCAGGAGGAGACTGCAGCTCAGGAGGGGAGGGGAAGACACTGTGGATTAGGAGGAGAGGAGAGGACTCCATGGCTCAGGAGAAGAGGGGAGAGCACTGAGGCTTAGGAGGGGAGGGGAGGACTCTGCAGCTCAGGAGGTGATGGGAGAACACCGTGGCTAAGGAAGAGCGGGAAGATTACCACAAAGTCTGTGCAAGGTGAGATCACTCTCTGATTTCCTAAGTCTTCCACTGGACTAAGGCTCTTTAAGAAACTTTAAGACAAAAAAGTACACTTGAACCAAAAGCAAATTTAGGTATATATATTTATTTATTTTTAAATCTCACGAGAAATAATAAAATACCAAGACATTCCTTGTGCTCCTCAAGTAGTAAAATCTGAACCACTACCTGGAAGTGAAGAGACATACCGAGCAAATCGTGTGAGGTGGCCATAAGGAGAAGAACTTTAATGAGTATTTTCTGCTTGATTTGATGGTTCAGCCAGGCTTCTTCCATGAGGATCTTATTTTTCCTGGCATTTATCTCCTGGGTAAAGTAAAGGAGCTCCTATCTAAAAATAGCACCTGGTGCTGAGTCGGTCTAAGGCCTCCCAGCCCTTCAGTCCCTGAAGCCAGCTTCTCTCTTCACTCCCATCTAAACCTCAAAAAGTCAACTCTCTCATTAGGCCTTGCCCACAAATACCTCCATCAAAGCTAGGACTCACACAGGTAAATGTGCTACAGGTGCCCATGTGACTTCCTCAAATAAGAATGTCACAAAACCAGTTTCCAGGGAGCTCTCATGCTCTTACTAATGAATGAGCAAGTGGGATCCAGGCAGCTTCTTCTCACATTATTTTGCCTGTGGAATCCTTTTGTACTCAAGATGCTTGAGCCAAATGCTACATTTACTTTTCCAGGTAAAGGTTTTACTGAGAAAGAAAAAAATTTTAAAGATAAAAAAAAAAATCCACTGGGTTCTTTTTGCCACATGGTAGGAAGAAACATCACAACCTTAGGGCTAATACGCATGTATGTAGTGTTCATTTAGATTGCTCTCTATTTTCCTCATATTTACTCTGTCATTTTACTTCTATTAAACTACCCTTCCCTCATGAAATTTAATAATCTTGTTTTACAGAAAGTGGCAAAGCAGGTGGAGAAGGTGGTCAAATGCCTTAACATGGATCATCTGCTTGCGGTGAGTTAGAATGCAGACTGCTCAGTGCTGATGCACCCAGAGAAGCAATGGTCCTGGGCTGGGCCCACCCCCAACCAGCATGATTAAACCCCTTTACAGTTGTTCTCCAAGCAACCTGACATGGTTTTTGTACTTGAATCAATATTTAAGTCCTTCTCCAGAACAGGATAGAAACAGAAGGCAGAAGAAGGCTCTAGCCTACTCTTGGAAGGCATTTTCTATTTCTTTTCTTTGATTCAGCTTGAACACCTGACTGAGGGAGGCAAAATTGCAAGACTGGCCATGGCAGTTAGAGCTCCTCTGTTGCAAAGGCGCCTGTGTAGCCAGGACATCAGTTCTTCTAGGTCATGAGGGTACTATTTAGAAGTGCCCTGGGAGGGAGATTATTCTCCTGATTCTGCAGCAAACCCATCTTCAGGAAAAATGACCTAGGTATTGAGGCAATTCTGGCTCAAATGTAATTTTGTTCCTATCCTGCTTTCCGTCTTAAGTATGCAAATCAGAATAATTTCAGTGTATTACTATGAGCAGGGAAACAATGAAAATTATCAGCCTATTCACAGCTGCTCAAACCTACCCTGAGAAGCAAACTGGTTCTCAAAATACGATCAGTTAATGACACATTCTATAAATACCTGCCACTTTATTAATGTGCTGAAAGCCAAACTGATTTGTTCTGGTTCTTCCTCAAGGTTACCCGAATCCTGAGCCTGGTGTTTTTCACTGGGGTGTTATTGTTTAGCTCAAGACAATGATGGAGATCTTTTCTTCCTTAGAGGACCATCATAATTATTTTATTTCTTTTGTTAGCTGTTGTAACAAATAGGCCATTTTTTCATGGTTAACATAAGAGAACTCTATTTCTTCCTCAGTTTTTACATGGCAAGTGGCGTTTCCCTGGGTGATCGTGAGACCCAGGCCTCTTCTGTCTTATCTGCTATCCCTTGGATCTTACATTATCTGCATCAAGCTGGTAGAATGGAAAGAGAATAGGAAGCTTCGATCTAGAAGGCCAGATGTCATTTCTGTCATATTTCCTTAGAACGAGCCACACGGCCACATTTAGAGGCAAACAAAGCTGGGAAATATGGTCTCTGACTGGGCAACCAGTTATCAGTGATAACTCTCTTCAGATGCTCCTCAACTTACAATTCGGCTCTGTCCCAATAAACCCATTGTATGTTGAAAATATCGTACATTGAAACACATTTACTACACCTAGACTAACAAACATCATAGCTTAGGATAGCCTACCTCAAACATGCTCAGAATACTTATATTAGCCTGGAGTTGGACAAAATAATTAAACATGAAGCCTATTTTATGATAAAAGTGTTGAATATCTTATGTAATTTATTGAATGCTGTACTGCAAGTGAAAAACAGAATGGCTATATGGGCCCTCAAAGTATGGTTTCTACTGAATCTGTATTGCTTTTGCATTATTTTAAAGTTGTAAAATTGTAGGTTGAACCACTGTAAGCTGAGGACCCTCTGTATTAAGAAAGGAGGCATAAAACTATTGGTAAATATCTAGCCCTCTCTGTCCCGTTTTCTTTGGTAATGAGAGTACTGAATGTTGATTATTTTCTGTGGTCTTTTCAACCTTAGTGCCACTTTAGAAAGTGCCCAAATTTCGCCTTCTGCTTCTTACACAAAATCTTCAAGTGTCTGGGAAACTCATAGAGCAAGGGCCCATGCTGCATGCCTATTGCGTGTGGGTTCAGCCATGTCAGGGCCTGTCCAAAGGCTGGAAGGAAATCTGTTTGCCTAAGATCCTAATGAGCTTCAAGGAGAGACAATGGGTGGCTGAGCTGGGAATGAAGATAGGAACCCCTTATCTTCCACGTGATACAGGAGGAGATAGAAAATATTTAGGCAGATAGTGCGGGCAAAAGAGTCCTTGGCACAACTTCCCTTCTAACAAAAAGCAGCCCTAGAAATCATTTTTTTTTTTTTCTAACAAAGAGCAGCCTGAAAGATCGAGCTACGAGCATAAGTAAGGAAGCTGGAAGCTTGCACAGGGGAATGCCGGCAACTACACCAATAGAAAAGGGCTACCTGGGGGCCAGGCATGTCCACCATGGAAGTTCCATCTTCCTTTTTTTGTTAGCATGTGCACAGTAAGAAAGAAACGGGCAACGGGTTGCAGCTCAGGCTAAAAACCTGCCTGTGTAATCAAACACTGGGGTGGGGACTGCCAGAGATGCACGCCCTATGCAAATGACACACCTGGTCCCAACCAGTTTTTCGCATTCTATGCAGATTAGACACCGCCTCCCCACCAGCTCGTCTATAAAACTCCCCGCATTTCACTGCAGATAGGTAACACATTTTTCTGGGACCCCCTCTCTGTAGCAGAGAGCTATTCTCTTTCTTTCGCCTATGAAACTTCCGCTCTTAACCTCACTCTTTGTGTGTATGTGTCCTTGTTATCCTTGGCTGTGAGACAATAAACCTCGGGTACCACCCTGAACAACAAGGCCACTTCACATGCAGTGACTTGGATGGGGAAGGACCCACTATGAGGGAAGAAGATGAGAGAAACTTTTAGGTCTGCAGATTCTGCAGAAAACATAGGCTGGCTGTATGGGATCAGAATATTGGGATGTAATTAAGGATAGCACTGTTGGGTGTTCTTACTATTGAGAATCAAACCTTCTATCCAGGCTTCTGTCTACACATGACTTTATTTTACTACTTCCATCAAAATAACTTCATTATTCCAGGCAACTCTTGCCAGGGAGAAAAAAGTTGCAGAGAAATTTATTGACCTTGGCAGGACTTCCTGAAAGACCTATCTACTCTTTCAGCTGAAACATCAAATGACATTTTATACCCTAAGACTCTTGAAACCCCTTGCCTCAAAATCCTGCCTTGTTTTTTCCAGTAATCCTAAATTATAGTATCATGATCTTTGCTCAAACCTAACCATACGCCTGCATTGAAAGACCGACCTAAAACCAGATCTTACAGTCTTAATAAATATGCCTTCTCAGCCCTCTCCTCTCAAGATGCTTCCAAGACTCTGAGGAGCAGTATTTTTCTTTTCTCGCATAAGCAATAAACTCAGCTTTGACTTATCAACAGGTTGCTTTGGTGATGGTTTGCACGGCCAGCGTTCCACATTATCTCCTAGTCTGGGGGACGTGTGCTATTTTCCAAAGGTAAGGGACACTAAAAAGATAAACATTTTACTCAAATGAGAAAGTGTTTCCATTGGCAGCTCCAAGCCACTAACTAGGCCCAACTGTCTCATGCTTTGGCATAATAAAGTCTTTTAAACACTAGTGGAAGAAGAACTCCACTTCTAGACTGTGATCCATAGGAACACAACAAAGTAACCTGAGGAGCAGCAGGACAGCCAGGAGGCAGAGGTCCTTGCAGGAAGATCCTTGAAGGTAGAGAGTGGCAGAGGCAGGAGGGAAGTGATGGTTGCCCGGAGCACACCCAAGACTTGTCAGGAGGCACTACAGAGGCAGCAGTGATGATTTCATGAATGGTACACTTAGCCCACTTACTAGTTACTTTTCTCTACACTGTATTCCCCAAACCCAGGGATGCATGGGTATACATAAAAGATTGGCATCAGAAAGGCCCATGGTCATAAAAACTGAATCCTTCAGTTATCAGCCCAGATAACTGAGCAGCTTCTAGAAAGAGAAAGTATGGTAAGTGGGTTCATACAAAGCAGGAGAATGCCTGCCAATGCATGCTTGAATGAAAATGAATGAGAGGGGATACGAACCAATGAGCTCTGGGCTATGGGGGAATAAAGGCATAAAGGAAGTAAAGAACATGTGATACTTATAAAAGAAAGTAAAGAACACGTGATACTTAAAGCAGAAAGGAGTTGAGATCCCAGGAGAACAGGCTAGGGTTAAGAGGCTGTCTTCTCGATAAACTGAGATCCTCGGACCCCTTCAGGACCCCTCCTGCGACAGCTTTTGGGCTAACATCGAATTCTGTGCTGGGTTAGGCAAGAAGGAAAGGAAATGCAGAGGATCTGTAATCTCAGCAGGGTAAAGATTTGCATAAAATGCCTCTGCTAAAACCTTCACTTCCCCTGAGAAAAGTATCAGAGCGTCAGTCAGTCACACTGTAAATGAAATGAGCTAGTCAGCTTACTTGCCTTCTGACATTTACATGAGGAGGGAGAAATTCGAGTTTGTGTAGGGGTAGGAGGCTTTGAGAGGCGTGGAGTGTTGAGGGAAGAAGAAGTTATGCAGAGCTTGACATACTTCAGAAGAAATCAGTGTGACAGGATGTTGTAATGGAGCTCTGAAGCCAGAGGAAGTAATATGACATTCAACGTGTGTATGTGTGCGGTGTTCACAGGTGAGGAGGGGACCAAACAATATGAGGCCCTACTCACACATTTCTTTCCCAGACCTGAAATCCTTCATTTTTGGAGGACTGTTGGCTGACTCAATACTCCAGAGTTTTTAATCCGTATGATGAAAATATTTGGTTAGCTCTGGCCTGTGTGTCTGAAGAATCCATATTTTATTTTAAAGGTGGTTAGAAAAGAAATATTCAGAACAAAACAGAGACACCTCACAGGTCTGAGCTTTATATATAAAGACATCACCTTTTTCTGTTAAGTGGGACAGATCGTCTGCTTGGGGATTATAGAGCTTTATCACTCTCAAACCCAACTGCTGAGAAACCCACATTGAAAACTGAGAAGTCAGGCTTATGTCTTGAGAGTAAACTCAGTGATGTTGAGTTGAACATTCAGTTAACTGTTTTGAGATATGGTGAGAACTGTGAAGTGTCCTTTATCCTAGTTCTCTGCTGTCAAATGGAGAAAAATAAAAACAAGGGTCAGAGAGCTATTCGTATTGAAGATTCCAAGAAGGACCAAGTCATTCATCAAGTGGAGCAGATGTGGTCAGAAAAAAAGACTGGCCAGAGAAAATCCGTCAGCAGAGCCTGATCCTTGTTGGTCATTGCCCTGAAAGACATCCCAAGATTCCTGTATCCTCTGAAAGTGACCCA